TAACCTGCAGATTAACCTGCAGACTAACCTGCAGATTAACCTGCAGATTAACCTAAATCATTCTGGACCTGAAGTTATGGATGGTTTCAAGTCTACAACTTCTAAACTACAAAGTTCTCAACAACCTAGCTCCATCTCATACTACAGATCTTATTGTTCCATATTTTACTAACAGAGAACTTCGCTCTCAGACTGCAGGTTTACTCGCGGTTCCTAGAGTTTCCAAAAGCAGAATGGGAGGAAGATCTTCCAGTTCTCAGGCTCCTCTCTTGTGGAACTAACTTCCAGTTTCTGTCCGAGAGGCTGACACATTGTCCAGTTTGAAGACTGGACTTTACTTTTTGATAAATCCTATAGTTGGTTGGCTCGTTATGCTGCTATAGACACACTACTAGAGGACAAACTGACCTCATTTCCTTACATGAATTGTTAAAATTGAATAGTTTTCATTTGATACTATTTCTATCTTAACATGTGATTCTTGACCTGCCATTGTGTATCTGTTCCTCTCAAACCCAGCCGGTCGAAGCAGATGGCCTCTTGTCCCCAGTCTGGTTCTGCTAAAGGTTTCCTCCTCACGAGGGAGTTTTTCCTTTCCACTGTTCCACTGACTTCTGTTGTGACTTGGCGCTATATAAATTAACTGAATTGACCTGAAATTCAGTATTCCTGTTGGAGCTTCTGGAACAGCGATAATCTTTTTAAGAGTGGTAGCTTCTTCAGTGCGTGTACAGGTAAGAACGGTTTCTTCCACAAAGAAACCACGAGTGTGTGGTGCAGACTTACACCAGCGGCGTCTGGACGCTCTTCTTTGGACTCGGCAGCTCTTGATTCTGCGTGCAGCAGCTTTGTGAAGATACACTGCATTCTTCATTATAGCTGGGAGCTTCGCCTCGATCTCCGCTGCACAGATACACTCCTCAAAGAACTCTGAAGACACACCAGATGCACGTGACACTGGCTGCCAACACTCTGACTTCAGGTCTTTGTGACCAGATATTTTAAAAGTCCTACAGACATCATCAAAACGAGAGACATTGCATTTCCTGCTAAAATGCAGTGTGAATGCTTATTGCTGAAGAACTTGCTGAAATTAGCTAAACACATGCTGGAATGTAACTGAAATAGAAGTACAAGCCTAAATTAGCAGAAGAAAGCAAAAACACATATTTGCTGAATTGGGTTTAAATAAGCAGAAATGAGCACAAAAATTAGAAAATTAACTTAAAAAAAGCTGAAATTAGCAACAAAACTGAAAAGTAGCTGAAACGGCATAAAGAAACAAACTATAAGACAGAACAAGCAGATATGAGCTAAAAAAATATGGAATTAGATGAAAAAACTAAAATTAGTATAAAACAGCTAAATAGTAGCTGAAAAAGCTGAAACTAGCAGAATAAAGCTGAAATGAGCAAAGCAAGCTAAATTTAGCACAAATAAGTTACTTAGGCTGAAAGTAGCAGAAATTACCACAAAAAATGTCAATTTATAATAAAACAGCTGAAATTAGCAAAAAAATGCTAAAAATGTAACTGAAAAGGTAGAACAAGCTTAAATTAGCAGAAGAAAGCAACAACACATATTTGATGAATTAGGTTTAAATAAACAGAAATTAGCACAAAAATTAGGAAATTAGCTAAAAAAACAAACTGAAAAGTAGCTGAAAAGGCATAAAGAAACTATAAGACAGAAAGAGCTGAAATGAGCTAAAAAAATGGAATTAGATGAAAAAGCTAAAATTAGTATATAACAGCTAAATAGTAGCTGAAACAGCAGAAAAAGCTGAAATGAGCATAGCAAGCTAAATTTAGCATAAAGAAGTTAATTAGGCTGAAAGTAGCAGAAATTACCACAAAAAACTTCAATTTATAATAAAACAGCTTAAATTAGCTAAAAATGTAACGGAAAATGACTAACAAGCTTAAATTAGCAGAAGAAAGCAGAAAGGATGTTTGCCCTGGTTGGCTGAAAGGCCAAAGCCTGATAGGCTGAAAGAAGCAGAAAGGAGCACAAAAAGTGGAAGTTATGTGAAAAAAGCTGAAACTAGCCACACAAAAAAAACAGCTGAAAAATAGCTTAAAAAGGCAGAAAGAAGCTCGAGTTATCAGAAGGCAGTGGAGAGGGCACGTTTGCTGAATTAGACTGACAAAAGTTGAAATAAGTGCAAAAAATATGGAATTAGCTGAAAAAGCTTAAATTACAATAAAAACAGCTACATAGTAGCTGAAATAGCAGAAAAGGCTGGAACTTACAGAAATAGGCTGAAAGGAGCATAACAAGCTGCAATTAGCAGAAAGCAGTTAGAAGAAGCACAAAAATGTTGTAGTTAGCAGAATAAAGCTGAAAGGAGCACAAAACAGCTGAAATTAGCTGAAAAGATGCTTAAATTTGCACAAAGAAGCTGAAACAACAAAATGTGAAAGGAGCAGTAAAAGGATGTAAAATGAGCTCAATTCATTTTCTATGAGGCTGTACACTGTACAAACATATTTTAGTGAAACCATACAAGTAATCACTGGATGTTCGTTGTGAAATATATTTTATCATATGATCTTACTTGGATGTATAATTGTTTGTTTTTTTATAACTTTTATATCATAACACTGACGAGTTAAAGAGAGAAAGAGAAAGAGAAGACCAAAGTCCATGCTCAATAATCCAGGTATAAAATCCAACAATGTTCAGTCAGGTCATCTGCACGGTTTCTTTTTGTGTTGAGACGTTTCGCCCTCCATCCAGAAGGCTTCATTAGTCTGAGGAAACACCAAACAAAACTGCTTCTCCCCCAACAGCTTATTCCAAAGTGGAAACAAACAGTTATGTTGGTGCTAAGATGGTCTCCGGTGCCCGCCCTCTCCTCCGGTGCCCGCCCTCTCCTCCGGTGCCCGCCCTCTCCCTTGTCAACAGTCATGTCAAGCTGGTTCAAAACACCAAAGTCCATGCTCTGAGCTCTACACATTGCACATCTTAGTTCAAACTGACTGTTTGCTTCAACGTATAAATACTAGACTGTAGAGGAACCTGGAGTTGAAGCCAGAGCTGTTGCAGCCTCACCACAGGACGGTCCTAGAACTAGTTTTAGGTCCCGTTTCCTGTTTTCAGCGTTGGCTCAGGTTGGTTCCCACAGATCTTACCTTGCTGCTGTATCACGACTAGTGCTATTCAAGTTAATAATTTAATTCACTTTTTATGATAGAAGATAGAAAACACAGGAAATTGATTTCCTGTTTGATCACGTCCTTGTTTGTGGTACTTCACGTGCACTTTCTGTTTGTGCACATGCAAACACGTAGTTTCATGGACTGCACTCACTCTTTAGCTGCGTCACGTCTCCTTTCATCTTCTCGTCCCCCTCCTTGGTTCGTTCCAGTGAGTTCAGACCTTTTTCCAGGTCCTTCAGAGCCTCCTCAGCCCACTTCAGCTTCTGCTCCAGCTCCACACGAGCCTCGATCTCCACCTTGAAACAGAAAAAGTCGACGCACACGCAGTACCTCATGTAACTAGGAGCAGACATGAGCCACCATTTTGTTTTCATTCTTCAGCTTTCACACTGTTGGTGTCCCACTTCTTCTGTAGACTTTGGGCTATTTTAGCCATTCATATTTCAAAACTTTTAGCTCTTTCAGGAAATGGGTATATAACAAACAGCTTTAGTAAGGCTTTGTAACGGCATTCTTTTAGCAAATGACTGGTCAGTGTTTGTACTCCTGGACCTTACTGCTGCTTTTGATACTGTTGACCACAGTAGAACCCCAGGTTTGGAATTACAGGTGCAGCATTAACATGGTTCCCTTCTTATCCGAGTCCTTTCATGTTAATGTCGGTAATATGTTATCTGCTTCAGCGCCTCTTTCCTACGAGGTTCCGCAGGGCTCGATTCTTAGACCCCTTCTGTTTTTACTCTATCTGCTCCCTTTGGGGTTCATCCTGAGGAAACATGATCTTTCTTTTCACTGTTATGCTGATGATTGTCAGATTTATCTGCCCTTAAAACCCAATAGTTCATGCACAATTCACCCTCTGTTAAAATGCCTTGATGACAACAAGCATGGATGGATTCCAAGTTTTTTAAGTTTTAACAATCAGAAAACTGAAGTCATCGTGTTTAGCCATAGCTCTACTGCTGTTTTTGTACCTGTAAACCTAGACTCTCTTGAGCCAGACCAGACTCCGTAGATCAGACTCCACAGACCAGACTCCGTAGATCAGACTCCACAGACCAGACTCCGTAGATCAGACTCCACAGACCAGACTCCAGTAGACCAGACTCCACAGACCAGATTCTACAGAAAAGACTCCAATAGACCAGACTCCACAGACAAGACTCCATAGACTAGACTCCAGTAGACCAAACTCTATAGACCAGACTCCAGTAGAACTTTTCAGACCACAGTTTTCCTCCTGCCACCTGATGTTTTGTGTGTGTGGGGGGTGATTTTAATCTAAACGAGGCCTCCCCCCACACAAGTAACACCTTGTTTATGGCCCTTTACAACCTTGAGCCAGCTGTGAATGTGGTTTAGCTGTGGCGGCCATTTTGACATGGATTGTTTGTGCGTGCCGGCAGGACGTAGCTGAAGCATCACCTTGAGCTCAGCCTCAGTTTGCTGCTTGTCCACAGTGAGCTGGGACAGGGACTGCTGCAGAGTCCGGGCCTGAGCTGAGAAGAACTCCCTCTCCTGCTGCAGGACTTTAGCTCGCTGCTCGTTCTCCTGGAGCCTAGAGCACAGAAACACACAAGAAAACCAAATCTGATTTACCAACACTGAAATGACTCCATAAGATTTCCACTAGCAGAAAAAACACCAAACTGGACTGATTGATGGATGTCAGCTTTATTTTGTTGTGTTTGGTTCTGGTTACATGAGCGCAAACAAACACACACTTTAAAATCATTTTAACATTAATACAAGAACGACACGCTTCATTTTACCAAGGAGACCATTTTGTGGCTTTTTGATTGCATCATTGTGGATTTGCACAGAGCTTTTAGCTTCTTTTAGCTCTTAGCTAGGGTTCTTCTTTTAGCTTCAACAATCGAGTAGCTCCCAGTATTCACACTGAGCTTTCTCAGAAAATGCAATTTCCTTATTAAGTGAATGTTTATTAAGTATTCACACTATTGTGAACCTGTTGATATTTTTCTTATAGTTACTTTACTTCTTTGTATAAATTTGGCATCGATTTTGTTCCACAGTTTTCAGCTATTTCAACAAATTATAAATCAAAATGTTCAGCTCTTTCAGGAGAAGGGTGCTGACTTTTGGTATTGGTGCAACTTTAGCTTTTTGAAATATTTAGCCTTTTCTGCTATTTGTTTCCTCATAGAAACTGAATAGAGTTCATTTTACATCCTTCAAATCTTTAGCTCTGTTTACAACCTTTTACTGCTCCTTTCACATGTTGTTCTGCTTCAGCTTCTTTCAGCTTCCTGGTGCAAATAAAAAAGTATCTACTTTCAGCTGATTTCAGCTGTTTTTCAGCCGTTTTGTGCTCCTTTCAGCTTTACGCTAACTACAACATGTTTGTGCTTCTTCTAATTTCTTTCTGCTAATTTCAGCTTGTTGTGCTCCTTTCAGCTTATTTCTGCAAGTTTAAGCTATTTCTGCCATTTCAGTTACTATTTAGCTGTTTTATGCTAATTTTAGCTTTTTCAACTAATTCCACATTTTTTGCACTCATTTAAACTTTATTCAGCCCTATTCAGCAAAAATGTTCTCTCTCCACTTGCTTCTGGTAATTTAAGCTTCTTTCTGCTTTTTTAGCTATTGTTTTATTGTTAATTTCAGCTTTTTTTTTTTTTTTAGATAATTTCCACTTTTTTGTGCTCATTTCTGCTTCAAACTTACAAAAAATAGTTTAAAAAAATCTAACATACTAATATAATTTTAACTAATTTTATTCATGGTTCTGTAAAAATAAAACTTTTTGTGTTTTATAATATTGTGATTTTCCTGTAATAAACAGTTTTTTTGTTACAGATGAATAAAACCAGTCCAGAGAACTTTAAGTTGTTTTTCTTTGTCGTTTTTGTGTTGCATGTTTTTATTTTTTTGCGGCGCACGTGAGGTCATCATTTTGCATGATTCCCTGTGACGACACTTCTGTGATGATGCAGCTGTTGACGGGTCCAGCTGAGAGTCGGACTCAGAGGGTCTCGGGGTTATGGACCGTGTGTTTCTGCACTCGGAGCTGAACATTAGTGCTTCACAATCAATACCAGCAGCCTGAGCAGCATCCAATCAATGAGCAGCATCCAATCAATGAGCAGCATC